CAATGACATGAGTAAGGAGTGACTATAAAGTAAGAGATATTTCTCTCTGCTAAGAGAGGGATTATAAAAGTCTGGTAGACAGACATGATCAGATTTTTGAGTTGAATACCTGATTGTGAGTCTACACATTAATTTTGAAAATTTGCAGGTTATATATTTCATAGAGTCATAGAATCATAGAATGATTTATTTGGATTGGAAGGAACTTTTAAGATCACATAGTTCCAACCTCCTGCTGTAAGCAGGGACACCTCCCTCTAAATGAAGTTGCTCACAGCCCCATCCAGCCCAGCCTTGAACAGTTTCTCACCACCCTCGCAGTAAACAATTTCTACTGTCTAATTTAAATATGCTCTCTTCCAGTTTAAAGCCATTTCCCCTCGTCCTGTCACTACATGCACTTGTAATTGAGTTGACTGAAAATGGTCTCACAAATAAACAAACAAACAAAAAAGACTTTTTCAGCATTTTTGAAATCTGGTCTCAAATTCCTTCATCAGAATGAAGAGCACAGCTGTGTATTCTTTGCTGTTCACAGGACTGTGATCAGCCTATGTGTCAAAATGCATAAAATTATTTGCCATAAAATTGAGCTGGCACTACTCTGGGCCCTATGCCATGGCTTCAGCCCAGATGGGGTTCACCAATGTTTGATTGGTGCTGAGGCTCAGTCCAGGCCGCTTGGTGGGGCAGAGCTGCCATCATGATGGCTGGGGCAAAAAGCAGCCACAGTGTGAGGCCTACTGGCCATGGGTTGGACATGCCTGCTCTAAGGTGAGGTTTGAAGATAAAGGCCTGTATTAGAAACAGCTCTCCTCAAAGCTGAATCCAGATGTTGCCATAGCATTAAACTTTATTTATGCACTGCCTTTTCTATCACGTTTTAAGTGACTCGTATCTAGATAAAATTATTGACCTTAGAAACATCAGCATGTTGGATATATCAGCTGGAAAATCAGTACGGTGGTTGCCATAACATACGTGGATCATTATGTACTTACATCTTTAATCAAACATTATGTTTATTTTCTTCTACTCAATGCTGTTTATTTTAAAGTAATCATGGTAAAATAGTGTGATGGTCTGCACTTTTAGAAAACAGTGAAGTTGTTTCTTGCAACTTTGAAGATACCCAGTAATTCCTTCTAAGAACTAAAGATATTTGTGCCAGTGTACAATTGCCAATTAGAGTAATAACATATTTCTTCCATTAAAAATCATTAATATTGATCATACATTCTACCCAATGCCATTCTTTTGAAGTTCTTGTGGGTGACTTAAAGTTCCTGCAGAATGATTTCTCTGTTTCCTTTTAGTGGTTGAATATCATATTGAAATTCTCTTCCTTTGACATTTCTTCAGCTAACAAACTGCCTTGAACTGTCTGTTCAGTTATATGCTCCAGATGTTATGATCCTTTCCATTGGAGCATCCCCCAGCTACAGTTCTGACCTCATATTTCTGAATAAATCCAAGATTACACAGATTTTGGCAATGGATTTTTATTGTTAATGGTAAAATCACATTGATGTTAGCTGCTTTTTAGGTCTGTTTGTCTTGGTAATCTTGTTAATATTTTTTGTTTGTAAATTAACTGCAATTTTTAAACATCGTTTTTATTTAAAGCAACATTGTTATGTATTATATGCACGAGATGGTAATCATTATTTAATGTCTACATATGAATGTTATGTGATTCCAGCCCAGATTGTCTTTGGCAAACGAATGTGTTACTGAGCCAAAGAAAAATGAGTACATGAAATACGTGGATTATAGCTCAGCTGTTTGTGGTGTTACTCCACCCACTCAGGGATCTTAGAGAATCGTTTCACCTCCATGCATGACTGGGAACTGTGTTTAAAAACTGCCATTCATGTTCATAGTGCAGGATCTGGGATTTCCTCAGAGGGATGTGAATTGCTTTATCCCCGTTAGTGGTCAGAGTATTGACATATGAGTTCATTTTTATTTCACCTTGTCATGGCCAAAAGTGATGCAAAATAATCCTTTTTGTGTTTAATGTGTGCTGTGCAGAGAAGGGCCATGCTGCTTTAGAGTAGTGTAGTTGTTCCATCTGGACAGCACTCCTAGTTTATACCACGTTTCAAGAATACAAGCAGCACTATCGTGCAACTATTCCCTGGGTATGGACAGAGAAAGAAGGGGAATCAAGAGAGATTATTGAAATAAACTTAAAAAGCATCCAAAGGAAGAGAAAGATCCTTGGGTTGCTTTTAGATACGAAAGTGATCCCAGAGCCTTTGTAATTAAAGAGTAGGGAGATAAAGAAATTTCAAGATTAAATTGTGACTGTGCTGTTTCATGGAGTGTATACTTTCATTTACAGTAGATTGCAGAGAAGCTCAGAGAAAAAAAAAATGAGCTTGTAATGCTGACTCGCTTACCAACTGTTAATTGCTTGTATTTTTTTCGAATAGATTTTTGTTTCTTACCGTGGGCTGCTTCATTCTCTACTATCTTCATAGTTCCTACATATTATTCCTGTTCATGCAGTCTTTTGTCCAAGAATTTGCTACTAGGCAATGTCCAGAGTACGTACACATGCTCTGCATGTGCTCTTGCTCTTCTCTAATATTTCCATTCCTCTATTCCACTAACTGTCTGACACTTCCTCAATATGAAAATGCCAACATATGGAAAACTGCTTTTTTTTTTTTCAGGCCCTTTGCCTCTCTCTCTTAGCTCTTTTGATTTCCCCAGTGGGTTGTACTTGAAAGTGTACAAATTCTAGTTACTTGTTTGAAGCTCTAGAGGCCATCTATGTAAAATAACGGCTGTGATAGAAGTTCCACACTCAGTGCTTCAGTCCATCCTTTGACCCACTTCAGTTTGGTATAATTGCATGAGTCTTTCTTTATTATCTTCCTGGAACTTGTGGGATGACACTGATTTCAAAATTCCACACTGAAACTGTTATTTGCAAGATAGTTGTTGAACCATGATTCCTTCCTGTATGCATTGATATGTCCTTCACTTACTGCATGTGTCTGAGGCACCACTAAACATCTTGTGCAGACAGATACAGACAGCATGTTCATTTGATCACTCTCTTGAACCAAGGATCAGCAGATGCAACATTTTCTGGTGCCAGTGTTTGAGAACTTGTTATTTCCAACTGTTACACCACTGTTTGTGGTCTTCATCTTACTCCACTGCTTTTCCAACTGCAAACATCCTGCTGACCAAAGATCAGAGAACTCTCACTCAGCTCTCCTCCTGTACTCTATCCCTGGATTGCCTTTCCCTCCTCTGACTTTGGCCTATCTCTTTGGTTTTTTTCTTTTTTTTTTTTTTTTTAGCACTGACTCTGTGCAGAAATTATCCTGACATGGTTTATAAACTCATTTTTTCCTACTCAGCTTTTCTCTCTTGGCTGTGTTGCTGCTAACAGATGTTCTACTGTGGTTCCATTGTCTGTGCTTTTCAATCATTCCCAGTAGTTCAATTCTGTACTGAAAAAATCCTCCAGAATTTGAGATGAGGAGTTTGTTAGTTAATGCTGACCATGATAGATTTCTTTCTTTTGGCACTTTTAGAAGTTTCTAGAAAATGTCCTATTCAGTGAATATTATTGGCCAAATGGGAATTTCATCAGTGTTCTATCTTCCTAGGATTATCCTTTAAAAATTAGGATAATGCTTAGGATATTCCCAGAAACTGAGAGAGAAGTAATATATTGTAGTATTTCCCATAAAATTTTTTAAAGGTATCTGCACATATGATGTCTATATTATTCAGTTTATCTGCACCATTAAATAGATTTAATCTCAATAATGGAGATAATGAACGAATACGGTTAATAATAGCACGTTTTTACTTAAGAATTTTTTGGAATTTCTACCACGTTTAATTTTTTTCTAAAATTTTCCTTTATGCTGTGCTTTTACTTCATGCAAGCATGAAAGTGCTGAGTACTTTGCATTACACTTCTAAACAAAACATCTGACTTTTTCGGATTGTTGCTGGAGAACCAGAGGAACCCACAAACACCACACTTGCTTTAAAAGAGTAAGATTTCTCTCTGGAGTGTTCCAGAATTTCTTCCATAATGGCCAACAGATATTTAAAGTTTTGACCCTGAATCTCTATCCTTCACTGCATATTTATTACTTGATCTAGGATTTCCTTGAGCTAGGAATATTGAAGGTTTAATCCAGCATCCCCCTACTTGTCTGGGGAGTTACTTATCCTTTTTGTGTGTGGAAGAGTTTATAATATCTATCTTTAGCAGGCAGTAGGTCTAGTTCAACATTAAATGGTGCAGGAATTAAAAAAAGACAGAAGCATTATGTAAAAACTAGTAGGCATCTTTCAGTAAAAATAGCTCATTTGGGTAAAGGAATACATAGCAAGGAACTTCAGAGATACTGACTGGTTAGCCAGGGCATTTCTATGGCTTTATACTAGAATGATCACAGGTTTTTAAGAATATCTGTTCACATAGACAGCTGTGTAATGAACAGATATTATAATGTGCATTTTTACCAATGAGTTTTGGGAAGGGTAAGCTGTGGCAGTATCAGTCTCTTCTACGAGCACTTAGATGCATACTCACCTTCAGTTTGTGTGGGCATCAGCATGTGGGATGCAGACTGCAGCAGCCTATGTGCTCTTCTTGATCTAGAAGGGAGGTTGTGTAAGCTGATATGATGACTGAAGTGCTTCCTAGGAAGGCTTCAGCAGTATGAGCATGTGGAACTGTGTCTTGGGAACTGACCATGCCTTGGCTACTCCTATTTTTGGGCAGCTCATATACAGAAGAGGCAGAAGCTGGGTTGTTGAGTTAGGACAGAATAGGAACACAGGTAAATCAGCAAATAGAACCCAACTTCTGGGTTTGAATGTTACTTAGTATAACAACCACCATTCCTGTTCTTCTAGAACTGTATATAAGATTTAAGTCTTCAGGTGTTTGTTTGTTTGTTTGTTTCCTTTATATATACACAATAAAACAGGAGGCTGATACAAAATCTTAAAAATGTTTTCTGGAAATATTTTAGGAAACTGATAGATACAAAGAACTGGCAATGCATTCAAGAAAGTTGAGTGTTGGTCACAATCCTGCAGCGACTCCATGTCAACACATAACCTGCATTCATATATAATGTTCATGCACAGCTCCTCCCCACATGTCTACATTCATGTCTATCTATTTATAATGCATAGTTTTGAATTTCTAGCAGAAAATTTCACAAGAGAGCGCAGAACAAACTGTCAGAAACAACTACTTATTGAAGGATTCTGTGTAACTAATGCCATTCTGTACTTATTTACTGCATTAAACAGAAATCCTTGTAGGTAAATAGTCTTGCAATCTGTATAATTAACAAAAATGTAAACAGTGTGTTGGGTTCCTTTTTTTGCCAGAGTACCAAATATTCGAATTTACTTTAAAAAAAAAAAACAGGGTTTCCTTATTAGCCTAGCACAGTGACGATTACACTGTGCTTTTTAACTGTTTGAACTGACTTTTCTTTGTGTCGTTCCCATTCCTCATCGTCTTTGTCCAGGTCAAAAGTTTCTGGATAAATGGGCAGCTTGTCTTTTGGACACTCCTCGTAATAACTCCGAACATATTTTCCAACAGACCAGCCTTTGTATTCCTCAGGCATTTTGCATTCTAGGCCATTGTAGTGGACGTTGTAGTGATGCTTCAGCCAGTAGAAAAGATAATGAATGTTGTAATCACATCTCCAAGGATTCTCTCTCAGCCACAGAACTTTCAGAAAGTAAAGGTCTTCCAATACTCCATATTCAAAATTCTGCAAGCTGTTGTTAGATAGATCCAGCTCTTCTAAGTTATTGAGCCCTGAGAAAGCAGCTTGTCAAAAGAAAGATATTTATTTGTAACTTGTAAATATGAATTAGAGAAGATATGCTTATCTGCAACAAGAAATAACTTTTTCATAACTTTATTTGTTTTTACTAAAGGCTATAAAAAGACATTTCAAACACAGATCTTTATTAAATGGTTTGTATCCTGAGTATCGACAGATATTATCCTGAAAATGTCAATATTAGAGTGGTTGTATTGCTGATAAAGTCATAAAACACTTATGAAAATGCATGAGTGCAGTATAGTGCCAGTGGAGATGAATGAATGTTTGATTTACTCATAGAATTCTTGTATTCTTTCCATGACACAAAGTTCTGAGTCATGTTTCAGGGAGCACTTCATACTTTTTGCAAGTTTTGTTTCATGTTAGAAGACTTAATTTGAATAAGTATGTTGCTAAACCTCAGAAATACCCTTCTACTGATATCAACAGTTTCTCCTATTTAACCTCTAAAATACTACTAAAGAAGGCTCAATTGCTTCATTATTTCTACCTCTCCTTGTGTCTGTTTTCATAATGAAAAATCAAATACACATATGCAATAAGCAAACTGCTAAACAAGGTCACTTGAAGTCTAATAATACATAACTTAAGAGCAACTATGTGTATCATTTTTTGATCAAAAAGAGTTTTAATTATTTTGGTTTGTCTATTACTTCATATCCATTACTATTTAAAAGCAGCATTCATTGTATTACAGCTTTTTTTTTTTTTTTTTTTTAATTGGAAATCATAATTCAGGATATTCAACTATTTGGCACTTTGGTAAATGGTTAACCTTCAGAATTCTATTTTTGCATTGGCTTGCTTAGTGTTAAAGAGCTGCTGAAATCAGTCACTCTTCATTGACTTGATGATTTATATGTCTTCTGTGATGATCTATGCAACCTGTGTGAATTGAATGCTACAAAAGGTTAAATTTGCACAGACTTCTAGATTTTTAGGTCCTTTCTTTCTTGCACATTTTTATGTGACAGAGACTTTACCAAAGTTTACAGTTTATGAAACAAATAACTGTAAAATGAATATTTAAAATTATTCTTACCAGGATCAATGTATGTTATTCCATTACTGTTCAGGTTTAATATCTTCAGTTCACTGATGTCTTCAAACTCTTTGGGTCGCAGTTGTTTAATTTTGTTGTTGGACAAATCAAGTTTAACTATATCTGGAGGTATGTTACCAGGAACTTTCTTTAAATCTTAAAAAATGGAAAAGAGAGAATTTGTATCATTTTTAGGTTATTCTTATTGCTTAGGTTTCACACTTGCAAACAGCTTTGTTGGTCTCACATTATTTCTTTCCCTTTATTTTCCCCCATTACTTCTATCAATGTTTTTTCAGCTTCTGACTTTGACTGCCTTTTTCTTTTCCATCTTCACGTTTCATATGAAAGTTGCATTCTTCACTACTGTTTACAGCAAAGCCTCATTCACTGTTTTTTATTTTTCTTTTGGTAGTACCATATTATTCATCTGTGTAGCAATGGGGGTAAAGACACTAATGAAAGGTGTGTGTGAAACTTGTAAACAGGGAAAACAGTATGCCGAGTAAATAAATGTTCATTGCCATGGGAACATATTCCATAATCAAATTACAATGTGCTCTATTACATCTTTTGTTTTATGTTGCCAAGAGGTAAAATTTCATTAGCAATAAAAGTGGTAATAATCATAGTATTTAGTAAGAGGTATAGTTATAATTGTACTTCTATAATTATAATTGCTTATTACTTATAAAAATGTGTTTTGTTACAATGCTTATTTGCCCAGGAGATATTTCTAAGTATTCTATCTATCTACTTCTCTGCCCTACTTGTATCATTGGCATTTCCAGAGTAGACAAGCATGTCTCAGTCATTATTTTTAAAAATTACTTTTAAAGGAGTTACAGAAAGAACAGCTTCTAGGTTCTAGGCTAGTAAGAGCATGTCCTTGAGGAGTGCCAGGTGTGGTCTGAATCTTCTCCGGATAAAGTTATTAAACCTTATCTCCAGGCTTTCTGTCTGCTAAATGTAGTGTTCTAATCCTGGGCTGTTAGAACAAAATGAGTGGTAGTACCCCTTCTTTAACTGTCTTTAAATAAAAGTATAATCCCTGAGTCTGTGCTGAAATTGGTGTTGTCAGTACACTTCAGAATTTTGAAGATGTCTCAAGCATCAGCATTCTTGAGACTAAAGCAACACATTAAAGACTTCCTGCCTTATATTTGAATTTCAGTAGAGCTTTGGTATGATAATACCTGTATTATAAATATGTAAATATTATAAATGCTCCTGCCTGCTCTGGTTGGAATGTTTCCTGCTTGTGCAGATGTCAAAGTTTAGGGTCTAATTATTGCCAAATGAATGAAAACAGTGCTTGAATTTATGGACATTTAACGTACTCTTCATGTCTGTGCTCTAGAACATGGATTTTTTTCAGCTGTTTTTGTGAGTCCAAATAATTTTGCAGAAAAGCAAACAACTTTTGTAGGTTTTGTTTTTTGTTTGTTTGTTTGTTTGTTTTTCTTTTTTATAACAGTCAAGGACACAGGATGCTTCTGTTCTGAAGTGCTGCTAGTTCTGGTGTATCACTGATCTGATGAGATACAAATAAGAAGTTCTTCAAAAAGGAGGAGATATGTGTATTTATGTATTTATTTTTAAGAAATATTTACATTTTTAAGATGTCTATTCCATGAGCTTTCTGGCATTAACTAAAAGCTCACAACCTGAGGGACAAAGTGCAGGCCTTATAATTTCTCTACAGAAATGCATAGTAATGCTATCCTGCTTATCGCTCTGTCCCCTCAATTGTAAAGAAATAATGCTTCAGCTTTTGGGGGCATCGTCTGATTTGACAGGTGATAAACTCTCCTCCTACTCTGAAATCTTGTTCATATGGATTTAGAACAAATTTTAATTTTTGCCAGGAATTTGAGTTCATTATACTCCTCTTTCTGATGAAAATTGCAGTGAAACTGTGCATCTGCTGCACAGTAATCATATGCAGGGACAGATAAGTATGATGCTTTCATCAAAGATTACCATATGTTTAGAAATCCCAAATTTTCATTAGATATGTGCATCCAGCTGTCAAGCATATGCACAGTAGATCTGATACTTCTTAAATGAGACTTACTCAGGGTGTGCATGCTAGACATTCAGGAAGTCCAGGAGTGATAGAGCTAGCTCTTGACCTGAAGGAAGGAGTCCTGTACCCTTGTACACCAGAACTGCAGTACACTCCTGTGAGTGCTGATGTAACTTTATTTCTCAGCCAGTAATTTATTTTTCAAATCCTGTGAAGCTCCCTTAAAGAGCAGACATGATTGAAGGTCACTATGGAGTTAGGGAAAAAAAACATAACATTTTTCTTGCCCCATATTTTTGAGTATATTAAGGTATTCAGCTCATCTCTTCTATACCACTGAATGGGAAGAGATAGAAAGTCAGTATTATATCAATATTTATATTATAATAAATGTATATGTATGTGTACATGTATGTATACATGTACGTGTATATGTATATAGTGATAAATGTACATAATAATATATACCTCTTTTTGTTCAGCTTTTGTTCAACACTGTTTTCTAGAAACTTGAAGTGATTGATGATGCAATTAAGATCATGTGAAAGATAGTTAAGATTATAATTTGTGTCTAATAACTAAGCTCTTATTCACAACAAGAGGAAAGATAAAGGAATATTAAGAAATTAATAAGTGTTAGCAAAAAAAACCATAATTAATAAAAAAAGACATAGTAAAAGAGGAATTTAGCAATGAGAAGAAGGTAAAACCATCAATATTTTTTATAGCATATGTAACAGACAAACCATGTCATCAAATGCTGAAATCATTAATTCTTTCTGTTTAGGTAACACCTCCAACATCAAAGTTCGAGAGTAAGAACTCACAAAGAGTTATATAAATATAAGTCACTGTTAAATAAATAGAAGTTTAGCAAACACATTGCGAGATACAAGTAGACAAAACGTTCTGCAGGATATATTTTGCAAAACTTGGGAAAATAGTTCTCCCAATTTGGGCTACTTCAGGTAATGCTTTTTAGTACAGATTTTAAAATGTTAAAGGACAACTCTCTTCAGAATTGTTTTGTTCCATGTTTTGTTTCATTGTAGTGTAAAATATGAGAAATATAAAGCATGAATAAATGTACATTTTCATTTTGACACATGCCACAGTTGGTTTACCCTTAGGGCTTAACTATGGCTTTTAGGAGACTGAGATGCATTTGGGAATGGAATGGATCCAAGAGACTGAAAAATATTTCTTAAAGTCACTTCAGCTTTAAAGTGTTTGTTGGGTACTGAGAGGAAGAACAGAGAGGAGATATTTCTTTATGAAGAAAAGTGTACAATTTCTTCCTTAAGAAGAAGAAATCATGCAAATACACTTGGGGCTCTAGTGACTCTTCTTTGCATTTAGGTTCCTATGGGGATTGTTAGCACAGCTGGCTAGTCCAATCCTGCTTCACAATTAACTTCTGTGAAATCTTTGTGTTTATACATCGGGAAAAATAAGTAAATAAATAAAAATGCTCCATGCTTATTTTTGTCAGTGCAGTGATTTTTGCACAGCTGCAGGATGACCGATTAGTATGCTTACCACTGTAGCATCAGACAGTTGAGGTGCTGACGGTTCCATAATTTAAGCATAGGCTTAATTTAACTACTGTTGATTTTCATTGGATGTGTTATACTAGAGAACTAAAGAATATTTGTGAGAAAATTATTTATGTTAAACAGACAAAAAATTAAAGTGTTAGTTAAAGTAAGTTAAGAAAGAGCTGGTGTCGTATGGATTTGTCATTAATAGTATGTGCAGCAGTAAGAGGGCAAGATTATGAAAATAATTCATTCAGTTAGAAAAATAGATACAAACCTTTTCTCTTGCAGTTCAGAGTTGGTACAGGAAACACATACATGTGGCACAAAGAAGAATCAAATTCTGGTTTGGTAGCTTCAGGCTTCTGCTTCATGTTTCGGGGATCTTGCCTGTCCTCTTCACTACACAGCTGTTCAGCTTTTATCTGTTTTAGCTTCTGATTTTTCAGTTCTATTGGGTACGAACACTTGGCATAGTTTCCCAAATTTCTGTTTGTTGGAACCTGTAGCATTGTAACAAGAGTTTCTAGTTCACAATTGCAATGCCAGGGATTATCATAAAGACGAAGATAGTTTAGACTGGGTGTATAAATAAAAATCTCCTCAGATAAACTCTTAATTTGGTTATGCTGGAGTAGGAGTGTGGTAAGTTTATTCAAACCAAAGAAAGCCTGGCTCTCAATTTTTGATATGTCATTCTGCTGTAAATCCAGACTTTTCAATACTTTATATTTAGAAAACATATTATTCTTCAATTTACGAATCCTGTTTCTTGCTAGCAGCATGTGCTTCAAATCCTCGGGCCAATCAGGTGCCACAAAAACCAATTTTCTTTCCTGACAATCTAGATATTTCTCATGAAGGTAAACATATATATCACATGGTTGGGCTTGGGCGTTGCGCTTAACGGTGCTAGACGCTCTTCTTACGATGTTTTCCTTTTCATTCTTTCTCAGATTCCTATTCCTTGTCTTCCTAAAGTCAGATGCTTTACAAAGAAGAAGTAGTATTATAATAGTAATGACTTGCATCCTGACATTCAGCTTGCCCACGTATTTTTTTGTGACAACTGGGAGAGAAGAAATTTTTGGTTGTCTTAATCAGTGTTGTCCAGATCTGAATACACACAGCTGGTGTATGTGGTATCCCTGCAGTGGAAGAAAAATAAAATATTAGAACAGATGAAATAAACTTTTTCACAGAGGCTTGTGCACAGTGTGCAGCTTTCAGTACTCAGTCATTACACTACTTAAAACTTCACAGTTACTTTGATAAAGTTGTGTCCTTTTTCATTGCTCTTACCATCTGTGATCTACTGTCATTTATTTTGCCAAAGCACGGAAAATTAGGCAAACTGCTTGATAATTGATTTTTGTCACAAAGTTCTCCAGTGTTTAAGAAACACCATCGGACAGAATCTTCTTTGTATTTAAATTCATCTTGGTAGATAAGCTTGAAAAAGGAGCTTGAGGCTGGTATTTTCCAGCTTTCTGGATACTGACCTACTGGATGTTCCACTACGAAAAACAACCAATAGGATATAGAAATTGACCTGCATCCAGTGTTTCTATCACTCTCACAATATAAAGTGCATTTGTTTTCTGGTTGAGTCCCATTTTATCCCAACCAGCTGTGGTACAACCAGGTGTCTCTCATGGCCCATGTAAGGTAGACAAAGTTGCATAGACTGCTCTGTGAAGGACCCAAGTGTAGTAATTTTCAAAAGCGTATGTGGCTGTTGTGTCGTCTGAGGGTAGACAGGATGCAAAGGAACCTGGGGAACCTGACAATGGTCTGCTTCAAACCGCTCACAGGTCTGCCCACTTGAGAAGATAGAGGATAGAGGGGTAAGCCAGGAGCTTTTATACAGGGATTACTCTTAGAGGAAGATAAGAACCACACCATGCAATCACATCCAAAATTGCGTAAGTTTTCAGCTGATGTTTGCTCCTGTATTTTTTACAGTGGTCCTAAACTTCCCTTAATGCAGTTGTTTTCAGTAAATTTTGGCCACAAAGTTGTGCTTCCTCAGAAACATTTTCACTCTTGAGATTTTCATAGTCTGAATTTCTTTTTATCTCATTAATTTCCTACTTTCTGCTCATTAGTATCATTCCTTCTAAAACTTGCTTTTTTTTTTTCCAACTCTTCACTGTTTGAATTGTGTACTCAGTAATTTTTGCTCTGCCTATAGACATCTTTGTGTTATGATCTATCTTTTTTGACTTTAGTACTTAAGATGTAGATCCCAATCTTGAATACAGTTTCCCAGATTTTTTTTTTTTTTTTTAAGCAACATTGTTTGGGTCTCAAAAACCTTGTCTTTATCTGTTGGAAAGATTCCATAATAAAAAAAACTAATATTAAATAAAATTTGTCAGCAAATTGATAGTTTAAACCAATTATGGACTAAAGAGCATTCTCAGTGTTTTTGTAGTTATAGCTTATTTAAAAAAAAAACACAATCCTATCTGCATGCTGCTCTATTGTATCCCAACAGCTCTGGTACTATCAGGTGTCACTCATGGCCCATGTCAGGTAGTTAAAGTGCATAGACTGTAGTTTAGAGGTGCACCTCTAAACCATGTGACCTACTGTCAATATCAACTTTGAAAAGCCCTTAACTGGATTCTCCATTTTTAATGCTGTACTTGCCAGTTCTCTATCAGCATTCAGATTCTGTTAATTGGTAGTGTGCATTACTGTCAACACGTTAACTCTTTAACTCCCAGTGCACTACATGATGTTATGATGTGGAATACTGGTAGCCAAAGATCATAAAACCATGACATTTACACTGATGACTTCACATGAAAAATGAGATTGTTACTTTTCAGAAGTTATATACTAGTTGGTCGAAGCAGTGCATTATAGTAACATCAGTCATAACTGGGATCCTCTGTGTTATTTTAAACTTTTCAGCATTTTTCAATATTCAACATTCATATCCATGAGTGCTTGGAACGAGAAAAAGATGGGAACTTTATTCCATCATTTCCTAACTCTAAATTTCTTAACTAAAGAGCTTTCTTATCCTTTGGTAATGTAAGACAAAAAGCAGCTTGATTCATAAGCCAGAGATTGATGAAGTGTTAAGAAGGCATTTTTCCTCTGGACAACTTCAGCTTTGTATACTTTTTTTTTTGTTGTTTGTGTGTGCTTTCTTCTCAGTAATCTGACACTGCAATAGTTTCAGGTAGGATACTGGCCTCGATGGACTGAATCTGTAATAGAAATACTTAAGTTTCTCTGGCACTCAGAGAATTCAAACTTTTAACATTCAAAATGACTGGGTTTTTTCGGTGAATGTAGGAATTTGCAAGATTTAAATCTCTCTGAATATCAGGGGTTGAATGTAAGTAACACAATATTTACATACCTATTACAGATGAATCTGGCAAATCAGCCATCCACTACTTTTTTTCAAATGAATTAAAAAATAAGAAACTTTACAACAAGTATCAAAATTTGACAATAATTATTTTAGAATTATGCTTTTCAGGATTATCCAATTATCCAGAGGCTAAAACTTACACTATGCTAAATTAACCTTGTAAATAAATATGTTCTTGTCATGTTCAGAATGCTCATTTGGCATGGTCTTAAAATTTCTGACTATATACAGTTTGCATCTGAATTCACATAACATAGACCTCAACCATCTCCTTGATATGATTAATTTCAGCATGTCTCCTCAAAGAGCAGAAAAAAATTGCAACTCTTTTTTTAAATTTCTGTCATCTTTTTAACAGGTATTAAATGTACTTGCTTATCTGTATTACTTCAGATGTGTAGTTTGTCATAGAATTTGGACTACTTGTTCTAAAATACTGTTAGAATTTTAATTATGCCTAGTAGGGCAGTGGCTTCTTACCAACCATTACATAGTAAATTTTGAAAGAAAATAAAAAAAAGAAAAAAAATGGAAGAAATCAGCAGTAATGTCACTACCACTGTAAACTTCCTGGTACTGTATTTTGGCAAACTCAGAGGACTGGTGAAATTGGTGAACTGTTGATATTTGGAAGTAGAAGATACTTAACAATATTTGCAAGGAGGAAGATGTATTGACCCTTGAGGGATGTCAGTTGCCACAAGATACCGATGGTACTTAGCGATATTGGTGAGAATGCTTTGGCCTAGCAGTCCAGGCAAATTTTCAGTCACTTTGAAATTCACTTATCCAGCCTATATTTTATCCTTTTGACTATGAAGGATACAGTGTTGAAGGCCTTGTTGTAGTCAAGATACACACACTACTGTTCTCCTCTTATCCAAAGATTTTGTTATTTCATCATAGAACACTATTACATCAGTGAGGAATGCTTTGTACTCAATAAATTCTTTCTGGCTGTTCCCTGTCACCTGTTTATCTTTCATTTGCTTGGTCATGGCTTCAAGGAGGGTCTGCTAAATAAACTTCTTAGGGACTTAGGTGAGGCTGAAAGACTCATAGTTTCCTGGATCCTTCTTCCCATTCCTGAAGGTGAATGCGACATTTCCTTCCTTCCAGTCATTTGACATCTCCTGTTACTTAGACCTTTGAAAAATGAGGGAGGACTCAGTGACAGTGAATATGCAAATGTGATACACTTCAGCAGCACGTGCTAACAATCCCATGTGCTTAATTGAACTGTATAGTGTTAAACATTTCCTTGAACTGCAATGTTAAATTTATCAAACTTCGTGTGAATAAAAGTAGTGTCATATGTTTCGTAGTATTTTGCTTAGAGATTGAAGAAAACAGCTTTCATTTGTAAAAATAAATATGATGGTTTAAAAACACTTGTTGAGGTGGGGTTTTGTTTTTGCTATTATATAAGGGCTGCTCTGAAAGTAATGCCTCCTACTTTATTATATTGGCATGTGACATCAGAGGCTGATGTTGATAGTATGACAATGGAGGCTGAAAAATATCCTGACAATATCCAGTTATGTTTTATTGCCATTCTACTCCTGAAAGCAGGGGAACAATCTGGTGGAATGGCATTGAAATGCATATGAAGCAAAAGCATGTCACTGAATTCCTCCATGCAGAAACAATGGCACACACTGACATCTCTGCCAACATTTTTGAATGTTTATGGAGATCAAACATCTGTGCAGTGAGTGCAGTGAGGCAGTGGGTACTGCATTTCTGCAGTGCAATATTGGCAGTGGGTCACCTCTGCTGGCACAGGTTTTTACAATCACAGCATGCAGGCTCATGTTCATCACTGGCAAAAATGCAAAATGCTAGTGACAATGACTGTATTGAAAACTAATTTAATGCCTTCTTGTGTCACTCTCGTAAGTGAGACTTTGTTGTGTCAAATAGTGTTACTGCACTCTTTGTAATTGTTGTAGTTTCCATGGAAATAAATAGGAGGCATTACTTTCAGAGAAATCTACATATATACAAATGTAAGATAAATTAATGCAAATACAATGTTAATGTACATCCGGATTTCTTTTATCATTCAGGATGAATCAATGAGACTCATATCTGAAGGCTGCAGATCTCTATTTAAATTTGCCATATGCACATATTACTAATGGAACACTACAACTTTTATCAAGGTGAAGTTAAAAATAAATGTTATAGTCTGCTTGTTTTACTCATACAGTAAGCTTAGAGGCATGAATTGTAGTAATACCCTTTTAAAGAGATGTACAGATTCTGCCTGTTAGACAAAACTTACAAAATACTCAATACATTTGACTCAGATGACAATTCTTTTTTCTTTTTCATTTTTTATTATAATTTTATTGTAATTAATATTAATATATGCCAGGCCACTCTGTATATTTCACAGATTTCTGCAGAAACTTTTAAGAGAACGTGGTAGTTAAAAAAATTCTGTGGCATGTCCAGCTACTCCTGATGATACAAGAAGTTTACACAAAGGAATGTTCATAAAAATTCTTTTTTGTGAGAGAAGATTGTGGGTGGGTCAATGTGAGCCAAATGGCTGTGTGCCAACTACAAGAGTTATTCTAAGATCTAATTTGGAAGATCAGCATATGGAAGACAAACAGTTAACATTGCTAGAGGTCTGTCATTCCTGGTTAGATGTGTCCCTTTGTAAGACATGAAGATTTGGTGAATAAGAGGTTGGTTGCTGCATTAAAAGCTGACATAGAGGAAAAGCATGAGGGTCAAGGATGTGCCTCCACAAAGATGTACATAGATTCTGAAGATAGATGTATAATGTTTCTCTTTCCCATGAATAAAATCAATGCCATCCTTTCAGCGACACCCCCACGAAGTCCAAAAATCTCTTCTTTTTCACTGTCATCACAGTTTCTATTCTTCTCAATTTTGTGTGCTGCATCTTTGTATTACTAAAATGTGCTTTGGCAAAAATTTCTCTTGAGTGTCTCCAGTCTTGCCAGTCACCTCTTCATCAGTATTATTCTCATCATAATCTGTGTTTTGTCCACAGTGGCTGATATTTTGTCTTTTTACATTTCCACATATTTTTGTTGCAGTTTGGAAAAGTTATTCTATAGGTAATCCCAGTCTATTTTATTCTGGTTATCTAAGTATCCTATTACTACCAAGAGTCAGAACCATACATTTCTTTTGATGTGTGAATCACACTTACAAAAGAAAAATGTCTCCAGAGTAGACAAAACTTTCAATGCAATAAAATAAATAAAAACAAAAAGGCAAGTTCAAATACTAGTAGATATTTTGCAGTTAACTTCTACCTCATAAATAATAAATTTTCCTTTTCACACATGAAGCTTCTGGTTTGAAAGTATAAAATACCACTCTTTCTAGAGACCATTTTTGGACAAAAAGCAAGGCTCACTGTTTCCAAGCTTACAAGGAAATAGAAAATGATGCTGGCCTGCGAAAGATTTGCTACAAGACACTTCTCATAAACACTTCATGTGCCATCTGAAAAGGCACATCTCACCACAGGTCTTGTGTAATAGTGTAACTAGTACAGAGTTCTTAAAGGTGGCAGTGTTGTATTTTGTAGTTCTGCACATGAGGTTTGCCATTGGATATCAAATGTCCATTACTGGAATAAGGAACTACTGTGGGCTGAATGTGCTGAAAGCTGTTTGGTGATTTTTGATTCTCTCTTTTCCATGCTTTTCCTCCATACTGACACTGATTATTGGGTACATTTTCCCTCTGAAAAGTGCTTCTTTATATGACAGGCATGAATATTAGCTATTAAGAATAAGCGTGAGATGGTGATTTTATCAGATCGCATGAAAGAAATGAGCCTGAGATTGTTAATACCAAATTAATTTTAAAAAAGCCAGTAGGAGAGCATTTCTGCAGATTTCACACAAAACAAGGATTAATAAGGAGTCCATGTGCTCGAGCTTAAATTCTAAGAAAACTGTCACTTCAAAGATGGCAGAAACAGTCAAGTACTAAAATTCTCAGATCATAAAAATGAGTCATATGACCTATAAGGAAAATCATTGTCTCTTCAAGAGTACTGGATGGTTTTGTTCACAGGTTTCAAAATCCAGTAAGAAAGGCTTCCCTATATCTTAAGTTATGCATCCTTGTAGCACAACCTTATTTATAGAAGTCCATTACTTTATTATCTGTTTTGTTAGATGCATTTGGAAGCATCTAATCACTTGTAGTGATTTTTGCACTAAAATGCAAAAAAAAGTATTCTTCTGTCAAGAAATATATTTCTGTATTCAAAAAGAAAGAAATGTTTCTGTTTAATAAAAAACAAACAAAAAAAAAAAAACCAAAACGAACACATAACCTCATATTTTCAGATCTGGCCTTGATTTACATTGCCTGTCTTCTATAGTGTTTTCATGAAATATAATCTTACATTTATTTTTAAAAGGTTTGTTATTATCTTTCTTTTTAAGGTTAACATTATTTTCCAGCTTCCTGTATACATATACATATATATATGTATTTACAGTTCAGTTCAAGTTACCATGTTTCCCCACTCTATGTGGAAAGTATAAAGTCAGCTCTGAAAGTCAATGCCACTCCCTAGGTAGTTAACTCCTCAGTGGGTGTTCCTGTGTTTCTTCAAAATGCTAATTTTTGCTGACTTGCAGATCTGCAGCACTGTATGCCTACATCTAAATATCTACCAGAGCAGTAGGTCCTAATTCTAGGCTCTGATTTTTTATATACTTTCATTTGTGGTGCTTGTGGCAATAGTTATTTATTCCAGTTAGAAATTTAGTTCAATAAAATGAATGGTTTTCAGTGTGCTATAAACCAGATCCACAGATGGAAACTTAAATACATCCCAAGTTTAGATTCTCAGCTTTTACAGAGTGCTGCAGAAAAACATTTTCCATTTATACAGTTTACTTTCTTTTTGCTAACATTTAGTATAAAAGCAATGTTTTCCAAAAGAACTGGTTAAAACTTTAGAAAGCATTGAAAGATAAAAGATGTAGGCACTTAATTCGCTTTTGTATCTCTATCAGTTTTTCAGGTTCTTTTAGTAGTATTCTTCTAAATAACTGGAGGAGCAGAGAAGCTCTTACTGTGCGTTTTTATTGTTAATGTTCTTTGATAGAGCTCTGGCTTTCATTTCCACCAGGCGCTGCTTGTAAAATCAATGGCAACGACAGTCCAGCAAGCTTGCACTGAAAAGCCTGTTAGTTTCCAAAGTATGCATACAAGAATCACAGTTAATTAAAAAAGTATGGGTTTGTAGTTATTCAAAATAACTTTAAAATGATACTGTTTTCATACAGTGAAGTATGTTATATGATAATGCTATTCTCTAATAAACCGGAGTACAAAGTGCAGTGGAAAGAAGAGTCTTTTACCAAGAAGAAAATTCTATTAAATGCCTAACACAATTCCTTTACAGTAATTTTCAGAATAGTTTAGCTCTGCTATTTTGTCTTTTTCTGATTCTATAACATACTCTTGTGATATTTTTCTCTCTCTTCTATTTCATCTTGAAAAGGAGCTTTCCCAATTTGCAGTACTTCAGTTTAGCTCACTGCAGAAAATACACAGACAAAGGTTTACAGTACCTGGGCACTGGCACAGGATGTCACAGGCTCATCTACTGGATCTTTCAGGTTGCATTCAGGTTTGTACTTCACGTCTTTCTTCCATTCTGTGAAGAAGAGAATCCTTTATATGACTGGCTGCATCCTGCATTCATGGTATACTGAAGTAGAACAAGCACTGCAGAAGTCTTCCAGGGTTTTGAATTACACGACTACAGCTGTTTAAATTTTACTGAGGAATAATAGCACTATAGGTTTGGATCGCTTCCAACAAACTGTCAGATCTATAAACAGCTAGTGCTTACTGCATAATGAGAACAAGGCTTGCTTTTTGTGGCTGTAAATAGCTAATTCTATGTTATGATTAGTTAGGATTTCAAATCAGGAGATTTGAAAATGCAGTTTTTACTAATGCATTAAAAATAAAGCCACCGTGCATTGGGAAAATGCAAAGTTACACTTGAATTTCTGAGAAGGAAAGTAATTCAAATGTAATCTTTTGTTACTATTTTATAACAGTTTAAAACACATTGGAGTAGTGTTTATAATGATAATCTAAAAATAGTTAATGCCTTGGGTTATTTCAGTCTCCAACTAAGATTCTAAAGATGCCCAGTGTTTTAGAATCTGGTACTATTTTAGATACTTTCAAATATATTCTGTATCTCAAAACATACTATAAAAGCGATATGAAATACTAAACCATAAGGCAGTAAAAGCCTGCCAAGGTCTTAATAAAAGCTCCCACGTACATTCTTGTTTACACTGATAGGCTTCTCCAAAGCACAAAATATGTGGAAAACGGTGAAGAGTCGGAGTCTGACAAACAGAATGGTTTAGCTTCCCATTTGACAGAGTCTTTCCAGAGCCAAGGATGAGGGCAGAGGGGGCAGTAGCCTTCTTCTGACTGCTTTTTGCTCTGAGTGTCTCTTTCCTTCTTTTTCAGAAGTGCAATCATGAACTGTAAGGATCTGCCTCTAGAAAGTATGATCTAACAGCAGTCAGAGAAAAGTGGTCATCACTGAACTAGGAAAACCGCAATCTTTCCACTTTCCAGAGGAATGAAGTGGGTTTGCTCACCAGTGTATTTGAGAGCTCTGAAAGTCATTCCACAGCTTCCTCCATTTTGGGTTTCCCTCTGATTCTGGAACAGCATTTAATGATCATGACTGAGCAATTAAGTAAACAGCTAAAACTAAAAAAGAGCATCAAATTGCATCACTGTTGCTGAAAGCCTTTCAATAGGACAGAATGGTGGGTGTTTTTTTTTACCTCATTGGATTAACTAAGCAAAAGAGAACTTCTGTGTGGATAACATTTTAGAATTAGAAATTAGACCAGAAAATATGTTCTGTAGAACCCTGTTTTTTCCTTCATTTTAATATCGCTGTTCTTTTTAAATGTGTTCTTATATTACACCTTACTATTGTAGTACTTAAACATCTGTTTGGAAAACCCATCTGTAAAATAAGTGATTATGCTAATGGTCTTAGAGGTGGCAGTTCGGGGACCTGAGCATTTAAATAACTCATTAAAGCTTAATTAGGCAGCAAAAAATAGACATTAAGCAAATATTTTCCAAACTATTGTAAAACACGACAGCCTTTGTTCTGATTGACTATTATTATAATTCATAGTAATAATATATGGTGAATTCTAGCTATGGCTTTTTTGCATAAAATTTCAGACGTTAAGGTTGTGTCTGTATTACATGGATGGTAAGCATTTCATTAAAAAGTTTAATGCTTTTGTTGTGAAACAGGGATTTCCTTATGTCCTACTCAAAAGCATCCTAATGTAGCACTGATAATCTCAAAGAGAGACTCAGAAAACCTTATTGCTTTGTCCTGCTTCTGAAGCAGAACAGTATAGATGGAGTATTTTCTGCTATGAGTCACAAAACTAAGATTAAAAGTGTAAAGAAATTGTATGTCATTTACTGACATTATACAAGTAGAAAAGTTTAGTGAGAGATACTTTAATTTATATTAGAAACATGGAGATTTTCAAAGAAATTGACTTCTTTTTGGAGCCAAGATCTATGGTTTACTGATTTCTAGATGAACTATTCTGGCCCAAAATATTTTAGAGCAGCCTATCAATTGCTGTAATTAACAACAGCTGGCTAAGAGGTTACAAGGCACTGGGGAAACATGAATTTGACCTGTTCATCTCTTGACATGCCATAGTGTCTGTGGGGATGACAGAGAAGCTGCTAGCAAATGTAGAGGCTTCACCACATTTCACCAGGTTCTTTCTGCTCTCACATCACTGAGAGAATTCTCTTTTTGGCAGCTACTGTCAAATTTTGGCTTCTTCAGACATATCAAGCAAGAAAACAGGAGTGCTTAAGAAGAAAATCTGAACTGTGTTTATTAATTATCAAAGAAGAGGACTCATTGTTTATATTTCCCAATTACAACCTTGTGTAACTGAAGAATAAGTTACACACGCATTATTCTCTATTATTGGAAACGTGATCGTTTGGGAGTACATTAATATAAGCTATTTTGGGTAGTGGAAAATATAAGAAAATTACATTTTCATCAATGAAAGAAACCAAACATCCGAATGTATGTCACAGTTTGTTTTATCGTTCTTGATAAATTTGAAATTAAAAAAAAAAAAAGATAGTCCCTTGTACACTGCAGGAGTACTTCCTCAGTGTGGAACACTGATTTTCGAGATTCTTCATTCACAATGTGTTGACAATACTGGAATCGCAGAATAATGATTCTTTACAATATCTTCTATGCTGCGGAGTGCATTCTGCTCTGCAGGGTGGATTCCACAAAAACAATCTTTTTAGAGTGAGAACACAGGAATTTTAAAGCAGTGATAGTGTGTGATAACAAATAAGCCAAAAGCCAAATAAAATTTCTGTGTTTTTAAAAGACTAAATGAAACGAATTTTGACATTCTCACAAATATTTTTGCATTTCACTACATTTATTTTCTAAATTTGTGGGGACAGTTTATTAGGTCTTTATATTTAGCTGTAGTTTGCTCCATGTTGGCTTTAACGTATTGTTTTAGACAACAGTATATTAGCATACAGTTAAGGAAAAAAGCAAACCATTTACGTATCAGACTGAGAACTCGCAGACAAGGAATTATGTTTTATGTAGGATCACTGTGTTGACTTCTGATCCTATAAATGATAAATATATATATATATCATACTGAGTCAAGCAGCAAAATTATGTTTTGCAGGATTTTATAACATCTTAGAATCTTCTTTAACTTTGGAGCATCACCCCTCACAGTACATTTGAAGAAAAAGGCTTAAGTAGGATTTTCTCATCTAAAACAAAAAATGCGGTATTAAATTCCATATATGTTCTAGCAATGATTCCATGGTCAAACTGTAGTTCTTAAGCGAATCTTCTAAACATTGAAATTCCAAGTGAGTTGAGAAAGCAGTTGTTCTACTAAAATGTCCATTAGATTTCACATTATTTCAACGTCTTGTTTTCAAGAATGCCTGATGTTTCTTAGATAACCCACAGTGGCTTTAGAAAGGAAATTCAAGATTAATACTTATGATATTGCAACTGCATCTGAATGTTGAGTAATGCAATTGAAACTTATCTGAATGCAAGAGATCTGTGTTAAAAAACAGTTTGAGTGAAAAAATGAGAAGCAATCAGTACAAGAGTTTTATTTGCTGCTTCGGTACAATTGTTTTTGGCTTACATGAAGGAAAACACTAAATTGCTGCTATTTGTGGTATTAAATTGCTATGTTAAGCAAGCAGTGTTTTTCCAGACAAAGAAATTAAAAATTCTTTAGACTACAGTTGACATTTTCGGTCTTTACTGAATTTCAGAAACAGATACACTACATCTGTCCCTAAACATTGTTGAGTTTGACCTGATTATCTGCTACCTTCTATCTCTCCTTTTGAGAATGGGAATCCCACTTAATTCTAGGTACCATACAAAGGGAAAATGACCATTTTGTTATGCTTGTGAAGACACAAATAATGTATTTCTTACTCAGATTTCAGTTGATGGCTTCAGAAATATTGGCAATGGCTGCAGTGGGATTCAAAATTTGCCAATCAGTGAAATGCCAACTCTTACAGACAGATGTATTCAAGTAAGTATTTGAAATCTGAATTTTGGGGGAATATCTGATGTTAGACCTGGATTATCATCTCAAGTGATTTTGAAGAAAGTATGCAGATAAAGATGAGAATTTCTTTCCTGAAGCATTTTTGAAAGCTATTGTTTAATTGTGTTTTAAAATCTTACTAACTCTTGTTCACTAACAGAAAATTTCAATTGTCTTGTCTTCTTTTGATACATAGGTGAATAGCTGAATTAAAATCTTCTCGTTTACATGGTTTTCCAGAGTTGCACCAAGTATAAAATATGGGAACATTCTGCTGCTAACTTAGCCCATCACAAGAAGTTTTTCACACTTCTGCAGAAGTGTTTGTTAACTATATCACTATCTCAGGTGTTTGCCAAACTTCACATCTCCAGTTACTTCTTTGCTTTTTGTTTCCAAAGATAATAAATATATGCAAAATTTCAATTATATATACTTAGAACTCACATGTTATAAGTTACTGTTGAAATGGGTTACAACTATTTGTTCAGAATTCCAACTACCAGTATAATATGCAGAATGTTTACTGATCTTTTGTTATGTGACCACATAAGCATGTTAATAATTTATTTCACCTTTCTCTACAAAGGCTCTGGTTGAAAAATGTCGACAAATAACATCTGTAGTGTTTCTTGACTCTCCACATCTTTCTGATACAACTTTTAAAGCCCTTATTGAATGTAAACTTGTTAAAGTCAAGATTGAAGGTTAATACAATATTTCACAAAATTATTTTGAATGATTTTGAAAATTAATCCACTTTAATCAATAAGAAATCAAGAAGAATCTTTCAATTGATTTTACTGAGTATTTGGATCTGGATCTTAATGTATGCCAAATGTGTAACTTTATCTTATGTGTTTCAACAGGAAATAACCAAATTACTGACCTGAGTTTCAAGATGATGAGTAAATACTGCCAATACGTCAGGCATATTCATTTTGCAGGATGCCAGAAGATAACAGACACTGGTCTTAAGATGATTTCAAAACTGAAGTATACTCTTGTCTTAAACGTGGCAGACTGCGTAAGGTGCTATCTCACATCCCGTTTCCTATAAATCATTCTAAAGAAATTTTAATAACTTTAATTGTACTCA